ATAATCATACCACAGACATGCTTGTTGTTGTTGTTGTTGTTGTTTATAAATAAAATAAAAAAATTCACTAATGTGTTGTTTTTTCTGTTTCAGATTGAAGAAATAGTATGTTTTACTGGTTCTTCTCTTGATTTTGCTTGCATAATGGTTATATGGAGTTTCGGTATGTTCCCCTTGGTTTTTACATAGTAAATGACCAATTGTTTTATAATTTTGGCTTAGTTTAAAGCAGTCTTCAAGGTTTCAAATGTCTGGATTTGTCGTGCTTCTTAGGAATTATATTAACAAAATATCTGCACTTATTTGTTTACAACTTGAAAACTATGTTACATGGATTCGGGTACGGGTGTTAGACATGAGTATGTATCCTTCTCCAAACAGAAGGATACGGACACAGCTAAATATTTATTTTATTAATTATTTAATTTTATTATTTTTTAGAGTAAAGTAATATTTTTTTCTAATATGATATTCAATATAGGCAATTTAACTCTTTTTAAAGTAATAATATAATATAATTGAATGATTGGATATGTTTTTTAAGTACATATCTAACCAAAAGTGTCGGACACATATCCCATACCCATGTCCGAATGATATGCGTCCGACACGGATACTTCATTACTTTTGAAGAGTCCATGTAACAGAGCTTAAAAGTGCTGCTGTTTGAAGTGGGTTGAGGAAGTTCGGGACGTTTTAATTAGAATTTTGATGATATTGAACTTGCAAGCACTCCCAAACAAGCATGATTTTTCTGTGGGAACTGTTGGCTGCCATTTTTATATGAGTCAATAGCTTCATTGGTTGAAAAAAAAAAAAAAAAAAAAAAAAAAAGCCATTGAAATGCTATTTTGGAACTTGTATATATATTTCATTCTCAATTAAATTTTAATTTTGAATGAGATTTTGACCAAAGCAACTTCATAAATTTTCAGATTCACGAAGTTTCTTTTTGTTTACTATCAGCTTTAAATTATTTATTAAAGAACAAGACTTTTGAATTTTCAGATTCTCTATCTTCTGTTTTTTTAAGCAGCTCATGACCAATTACAGAAAAATAAATAAATAAATAAAGGGGGATAGAGTTAACCATCATGATCGCGGCAGGTAACTTGGACCTGCAAGGTTCAGGGGAGCGAAAGAATGACGTGGACTGAGAGAGGGACTCTCGGTATGCTTCAGGGCCGCGATAACACAGAGAAGTTATGGCGATCACACGGCTGTAGTGAGGTGACTACTTAATAGTAGCTTTGCCCAAACTAACCACATATGTTGAGAGGCAAGGACACTCGAGGAAATCACCTGTGTTAGAGCTCGTGGTGACCCGTGGTGTTATCTCTCACGGCATGGATTGTGTGAGACTTTGTTGGCTCCTCTCCTTAAGATGAAAAGTAGCTTGCCATCGGCATTACTTCGTACTTGCAAAGCACCATAATGATCACCTGACCAAGGACCTTGTGGCCTAGTAGTATCTCCTTTACTACATGTATGCTTCTTCTTCTTCTTGTTATTTATAAAAAAAAAATATTGATATTTTGCTTTTTCCCGGTTTCAGATTGAAGAAATATGATGTTTTGCTGGTTCTTCTCTTGATTTTGCTTGCATATTGGTTTTATGGGGTTTCGGTTTGTTCCCCTCATGGTTTTTACTTGGTAAATAATGAATTACTATATAATTATTGCTCATATAATTTTTGCTCAGGGGGTGTTTGGCTACATGGAATTGAAACTTTGGAATTGAAACTTTGGAATTGGAATTGGAATTGGAATTTGAGAAAAGTTTAGTTCAATTTCTTAATTGTTTCTCTCCAATTCCACCAATTCCAATTCTAAGGCTACGATTCTATACAGCCGAACATAATCTCGGTGTAAAGCAGTCTCAAATGTCTGGATTTGTCATGCTTCTTAGGAATTATATCAGTAAAATACTTGCACTCGTTTGTTCGGAACTTGAAAGTGCTGCTGTTTAAATTGGGTGGAGGAAGTTTGGGACATTTTAATCAGAAAGCACTGTCAAGCAATCATGATTTTTCTGTGCGAACTGTTGTCAGCCATTTTTATGAGTTAATAGTTTCATTGGTTGGGGGAAAAGAATTAAAAATAAAAATGCCTTCACTGCCTTTTTCAAAAAGATTGAAATGCTATTTTGGGAATTATATATATATATATATGTGTGTGTGTTTCATTCTCAATTAAATGTTAATTTTGAGTCAGCTTAATAAATTTTCAGATTCACAAAGTTTTTCTTTTTTTTGTTTACTTTCAGCTTTAAATTATTTATTAAAAATAATACTTCAAAGAGTATGGATTAGTGTGTTTTTTTTTGACAAATCAATTTGAAAATTACCACATTCAAATAAACTGATGGAGGAAGTAGGAACATTATGATCAACTCAATGTGAGACTTAATCTGATTGTTGTATTAAACTTCTTGCTAGAGAGATCTATAATCAGAATCATTTTAATACAGTAAGCAATCTTAAAAGGAGTATTATAGGAAGAATTGCTTTAAAAATTTGCAGTCGGCCAATGTAATCTTTCTAACCAAAGAAGAAGGTATCAACTGCTAAAAGCAGCATATAGATTTGAGACCATATTTGATCAGGAAAAGGATATCAAAAAAACAAATGATTATGATCCACCATTGAGACAATGTTGAAAACACAACTCATGGTGCAATGTAAGAAACACAACTCGAGTAGTTTAAGCAGCTCTATGTTCACCAATTACAGGAGGTTTTAAGGGTTGTAATATGGGCTTGCAGAAACTTGCCACGTCGTGGATTGTGCTGTGCGGGACTTTAATGTCTCCTCTCCTCGAGATGAAAAGTAGCTTGCCACGACGTTACTCTTAAGTCTTGAAGCGATATAAGAGCATGCTATGTTGTGGCCTGGGCTATCATGTTGTCATAAGAACGTTTGATGTCACGGTTCTAAACGGGAAGATAGTTAATTGAGGTGTGGAGGATTGAAAGAGAGGCCCGTCAAATTGTGAGAATGAGTCGCGACCTAAGGAACCTTGCGGGCTTAATCCCCTTAGACCTTAGACAGGGGCGGAGCCAGGATTCAATGGTTGGGGGGATAACTTGCAATTAATATAAGACTATTTTAAGCCATATATATATATTCAAGGGCAGATCTAGAATTGCATAATGAGGTGGGCTAATTTATTATGGGGTGAGCTAGTACTACTAAAACTTTTTTTTTTTTTTTTTGTTGGTTGGGCTAAAATTACCTCTAATAAAAATAAAAATAAAAAATAAAAAAATTGGGGTGGGCTCAAGCCCACTAGAGCCCATATTATCGATTATAGTTATACAGAAATTTATCAAACTAACCGTCAGCTAATTTATGTACAAATAAATAAATAAATGGCCTATATCTAGTCAAAAATGACATAAATATGTACATAAATCAACCAAAAAAACCAAATAACTACTACAAAAGTCCAAATAATTATCTTTGAGACCATAAAATTAATATATTATGGATTGGTAGCCATTGTATAACTAATTAACCTGAAATTAATCAATCAATTAGTTATTTAAAGAAGCATTTTTTATTTGGTAGCTTGACCATATAACCAATTAACCTAAAATTAATCAATCAATTAATTATTTAAAGAAGCTTTTTAATTTTATCGAACTTCCATAACAAACACAAAAAATAGACAGTAAGATAGTTAACCGAAAATTAAAAAAACTTTCAACTAGGGCTGTAGCTTGGGCGGGTTGGGCGGGTTTGAGGTATAATTTGAGCCCAACCCACTATATGAAATACTAAACCCAAGCCCAATGCTAACCCTATCCTCAACTCTAACTATTAGACCCGAGCCCAACCCATCTTTCTACTTTTAAATTCGTGTTTGCAACTCGAGCTTAGATTTCGTGTTAAAACTTCAGGTTAATTCTGATTATTCATATGGTTAATCTTCACACCGAAAATTTAATATCATCTTAAATTAGTTTTTGATTAAATTACTCTTTAACAAGAAAATTTTCAAAAACTTTTTGTAAATTTTTAATAAAGTAGAATATTAAGTCTCCTAAATGTTAACATACAATAAGTTAAGATTTAACAAAGGAAGTTGAAAAGAAAAAAAGATAATCATAGTTTAAATATTATATATAATGTATTTTAAAGTTAAAATATATAGGAAAACAATATTATAATTTGGGTTCGGGTTGGCTCATGTTACTAGCACTTCAACCCAAGCCCAACCCTAATTTAATTCAGGTTGAGATTTTTCAAACCAAACCCAACCCTAATTATAAAAATGATTGTTCAAGCCCGCGAAAAATCAAGCTGGGCTCGGGTTAGGCTCGGGTTTCCCAACCCAAGTTGCACCCCTACTTTCAACCCTATAGTAAAGTGAATATATTATCTATTATTGCAATTGGACTTGTTTAATATAATATTGAAAGGTTTGGAAAAAAAAAAAAAAAAACAAAACAAAACTATAAGAAGGTTCGTCTATTTTAATAGAAAGTTAAAAACCACTTATAGTTAGAAAATATTATTGGGGGCATTTTTCTATGCTATTTTTTATTTTAGGTTGTATTAGGCCTCCCCCGGCCTCCGCCCCTGACCTTAGGCACACTCTACGAGCTCAAGTAGCCTGCGACCTTCATCAAGATGGGCATGCTTGCGAATTGACCAAAATGATAACAGACAGGACACGTGTCATGATAGGCCCGCTCCACATTCGATGACAGTTGTCAAAGGCTCGCGTTGAAGTGTCTCCAATGCTCTCTCAAATATCCTCTCAAACTAAGATAAAGGAGATTTTGTTTTCAGCCACACTCCAATGGTATGTTATACGGCCTCAAAATATGAAATTCCCAAAACTTTTATCATATATAGCAGGTTGTTATAAGTAAATAACTTAAGTGCATCTCCAACCCAATGCTATTTGGGCTGTCATTTGTATAATATAACAGATGGGCTTCAAATGGGCTCTCCAATGGGCTGCCATTTCCTCTATCAAATTTTAACTTTGCCAATTCTAGCGGAAGAAATGGCAACTGCTATTTCCCTATTTCGTTCCTATGTAGGGCAACAGAGAGAGAGAGAGAGTGAAGAGAAGCGCGACCAGTGACAGAGAGAACCAGAAAACGGCTCAGTAGGTGAAGAGTTGAGTGAGAGGTTGGACCTTTGGAGCTGTGACCAAGAAGAAGACGAAGATGAACACAGACATCACAGCATCGGCGAAATCAGAGTACCCAGTAATAGATCGAAACCCTCCCTTCACCAAAACAGTCGCTAACTTTAACACCCTCGATTACCTTCGTCTCGTCACCATTACCGGCGTCTCCGTCACCGTCAGCTACCTCTCAGGTCCACCCATATCCTCCCTCCATATGTGTGTGTGTGTGTGTGTGTGTGTGTGTGTATTTGTGTGAATTGTTTGTTCAATTTATTAATGGGTTTGATTAATCTACAGGAATAAAGCCGAACATAAGAGGTCCTTCAATGGTGATTGGGGGACTGATCGGTGTAATGGGCGGGTTCATGTACGCCTACCAGAACTCTGCTGGGAGAATAATGGGTTTCTTCCCTAACGACGGAGAGGTAGCTAAATACAATAAATAGGAACTCTTTTATTATTGGGTTTCGTGATTTGCATTTCTTGGATGAACTAAAATTGAAGGCATCTACCTATTTTTCAAGTTTATGTATGATGAATTTTTGTGATGCTATCAATAATCAGATATTTCTCATTGCTTGTTGGTTGTCTTTGTTTTGAATTGCATACTTTGTTTTAACAATCAGCTATGCCCTTTTTGGTGCTTCCAGCCTTTTAGAGACTAATTATGTTGTGGAAATGCTCCATTCTCAAATTATTCTATCAGTTAAACATGCTTTACTGTATATATATTTGTATAGATTTTTACAAGGTAGACTATATTGGGGGAGAACTATAAAACCAATGCAAGTCATAGACACTGTATACTACACTGTATACTTCAAGCTTATTGATTAATGCCGATGGCAACCTTTTTGGAAGTAGTTTGGAAGTATGCAACCTTTTCAGAATATTGGAATTTGACAGAGTAGTGATCATATATATAGTATCTGCAGTCTAAACATAAAATAGAAAGACGATCAAGTCAGGAAGCAATCGATACGGATGCAAGCAAAAGGATAAGGTTGTTGATCTGGATATTTGCAAACAAGATTTTTTTGATCGGCAATTGCAAACAAGATGGTCAGGAGAATATTATCGTCAAGAGTAGTAATTTTTTTTTTTAGCCAAAAGAAAGCATGCTTTTGATTTGTGTTTGGATAAATGATTGTTTAGCATATTGACTTTAAGTGATGCTTAGTATAATTATGATTGCATTGATTCAGAAATAATCTGGAGTGAAAAGTTGTGAAAACTGAAGATTGAGTTTGTTTCACTATGTTGAACTTGTCCAGGGTACTCTTTTGTTCATTAATCCTCTGAAATGCTTTTGGGTCCAAGTGTGATATTGAAGTTAGGAAATCTTGAGTACTTGTGAGTATGGTTTGGGTATGTCACACATTATTCATAGCCTCGACCTCCTCAAGAATCAAGTAGTTACTACAAGGATTGTTTTAACTTGAGTTTTTTAGCAACTTTCCTTCTGTATTATTTAATTAGTTTGTATATGTTTGCTTCCCTATGTGTTTTGATTCTTCACATTTGTGCATAGAAATATTATATAAATTGCTTAGTTAATATATTTTGATCATCTTTATATCAGTGCGGATCCCTTTTATTTTTGTGTGTGTGTGTTTGGCTATTTTTGTAAGTGCTTTTGAAACTAGAATTGGATGTCAATTGATTTTATAGAAGATTAGGTTCTAAAGCAGGATTCAAGAATGAGATACCTTTTTTAATTCACTAAAAAGGAAAAACATGAATCTTGCTTGCCGATGAAACATAGAAAAAGTTGGTTTAGTTTACAATGAGACACCACTATTAAAGTATAGAGCTAGAAGAATCTTTGCATAATAAAGCTTTGGTTTCCATGTGAAGTGTGAGATACACTTTCCTTTTTTTCAGTTACAAGGTTAGTTTTTCAAATTCTAACTTCTTTATGTGAAGTGTGAGATACACTTTTCTTTTTTCCCTATGAAAACTTTGAATTTGAAGCATTTTTACCAAACAAAATCAATGAGAGGTATTTGATTTTTCTTCTGTTGAATTAGGAGGCTCTTGTTTTTAATGGGTGTTGAGTATTCAAAGCTGATGAAAATTCTCTCAGTTATAGAAAGTTAATTTTCAAGTTGACCCTCTCTATATGAAAGCTCTCTCTTTAATGGGCATTGATATGTATATATGTGTGTGTGTGTATGTGTGTGAAAAAGTGAGATACACAAGTTATATCTGTCTTTGCATGATGTGATGAACTTTAATTTGCAGTCTCATTTGTGAGTTTTTTTGTGTGCGTTTTTGTCAGGACAATTAGCTTGATCAGCCAAGCTGCCAAAGACACAATTGCTGAGCTGTTTTTTTTTTCGAAAATTCAATTGCTCAGCTGTTGTTTATGTGATTGTTATATATATTAAAGAACACTTCGGTATTCCCAATTATGATAACTATCAATGTGATTGTTATATATATTACAGTAGGTTCATAGAGAAAGAAGCCAAGGAAAAAAAAGAGAGATGATGAGATTATGATGGACCTTTCTAACATGGACTCTCAAGCGAAAATTTATTACCAGCTGCGCAAGGATGAGATTCTTGCCAAACTACAAGCACACAACAAACTTTAATTATTGTGTTTCTCTTCCCCCATCTCCACCATGAGGGACACATGAAGTTGAGACTTTTGCAGCTAGTTGCTGATCTTTTGTGTAAATGGGCTGTCAAAAACAAATCTTTTGTGTAAATGGGTTCAATGTTTTAAGGCAGCTCAATTTTTGTGTAAAGGACAATGTTTTAAACAGCTAGCTTTGAATGTTGTAATGTCATTGTACATATTGTTTGTTAGTTCGGACTCTTAACAGGGTAATGAGATTTCAATCCCTTGTATTTACTTGATTTCTCAAATAAATGGAGACACCAATCATAGCAAAAGAGAACTGAATTATAAGCAAACAAAACAAAATAATTGTGAATTGAATTATCGCAATTGTACAAATGAAAACATCACACATCTGGACTGATACATAACTCAGACTCCTATGGAAAGCAGTAAGGAATTTTCAATAATGGATGAAACCACAATAAAGCAATACAAGGGTCTGAACATGACATGCAATTACATATGACAAGTTTTTTGATAGAGTTTACTTGTTATGTAAATGACAAGTTTACCCATTTTATTTTTATATAATTTACATTTTTATCTTTTACATTGAATTTGATAATTAATTATTTTTTTTTTAATCAGACAAATAAGCTAAATAAAATACAAATACTCACAAAAAAAAAAAAAAAATGGTTATTAAAAATTGGTAGTTGAAAATGGTAGTTGATAATGTTAGTTGGAAAAAAATGATTATTGTGCCAAAAAATAGCATTTTGAATAAAATGCACCATTGGAGTAGAGTTGCTAAAATATAACATTTTGACACTGTAGCTATAGTCAAATTTTAAATTTGGCATGCAAAAATGACTATTTGCATTAGAGATGTTCTAAGATACTAAACCTTTTTTTGAATTTTTGTGCAGATATGGGCTAAAAAGTCACATGAAAAAGTAAGAATAATGCATTGATTAAACTAAGGAAAGTAATGGTCAAAGTGTCAGCAGATTGCTAAAATATAGCATTTTGGATGAAATGCACCATTAGAGCAGAATTGTTACAATATAGCATTTTGATACTGTAACTCCTCTTAAAATATAACTTTACCATTGAGAAATAGCATTTTGTATTAGAGATACTCTTAAAAACCCTATAAATACTAGGGGGTTCATGACGTGGGGACGGCACATCCAAGAGGCCCCACTCCCATTCTATTTCATTTCTGCTCTATTTCTCTCCCTCATCTCTCTCATCTCATTCCTCTTAGCTCACCTTTCTCACTCATTCACGACAGTCAAGTGCAGGCCATTTCTCTCAGCATTCTTAAACCCTACAATTTACAAAGGTACATGTATCAGCCAAATTATAACTTTTAATAAATAAATTACACCGACCTCCCCTGAGTTTTGTCATAATTACAGATGGTATCAAACTTGCATTTTTTTGCACCATGCGATTTGCATTTTTTAATAAATAATAAATTAATTAATTACACTGACCTCCCCTGTGATTTGCTCCATTATGGCACATACACCCCTTCCATTTAAGATTTGGCCAATGACAAAAAAAAATAAAAATAAAAATAAAAATTAATTAAATTAAATTAATTAAATAAATAAATAAAATTGATTTCAGCGACCAAAATGTCCATCAACTAATTAAGAGGAAAACATGTGCCAATGACATAAAAATAATTGATTTCAGCGACCAAAATGCCCATCAACTAAGAGGAAAAGATGTTACTATCTCATCCACATCAAGCACAAGGGTCTCAGAACACCACCCATCAACTAAGAGGAAAAGATGTTATTATCTCATCCACATCAAGCACAAGGGTCTCAGAACACCACCAACCCACCCCCCCGCGCCGGCGCGGGGCATGCGTGCGCGTGTTAAAGGGCGGGTTGAGAGAAGCCATAGACCATTACCATTACCTGGTAAAGGGAATCATTTTACTAAAATGAGTGAGTTTTAGTACCTCTTGCTAGAAAGGCAAAGTTACATTTAAAAGGGACGAGTTGAGTGAAACCCGATAATACTCCTCCTTCTCTTATTAAAGAGATGAGTGGTCAACAACTGCCCTTACTAAAAAAAAAAAACACGAGTCAATAAAAACTTAAATAATTACTCCTCTTATTGTATAACTGTGACAATTGCAATCACGCATGGTTGACCCGAATTAGAAGCAACATGCAAAATAAAGACTTCACAAAGAAGGTAGTAATCGACTAAGAAGTGACTATGGGAAGTCAGCAAGTCCACGGGAAGTTGGCAACAAATTGGAAAGTCAGCGACTTCCAAAGGGAAGTCAGCAAAGAAGTTCGCAAATGACTTCTCTAAAAAAATTAAGGATTAAAATCATAGGACTCTCTTTTACCATCAAAACTATGTATAAAATCCTAATAGAATTATAAAATCATCATAATTACCAAATGTTATCATACAATCCCGTTTCCGTTACTCTGCCATCACATACCGCATGCTCCTGCTTACTCTCTTTATGCCGAAAATACCCTTTAAAAACTTTAAGCTTGCACGTGATTGTCACCGTCAGCAAGTCGTCATCTTCTCCTTCACGTGAGCATAGCTATACCTGGTACATTCATTTAAGGTGACCCAGAGTGAAAATCGGAGGTGACCTAGACTAAAATGCTATGGTAAGGTGGTGTATAAGTCCAATACATGCTCGTTCAATTGCTTCAATGAACAGTTCATATCTGGATTTCATCTCCACTGCACACAACTTCCAAGACTTTCAGAATTGGAGCTTCAAAACTTTCAGGAATGCGTAACGATTACGGCCTTTTTCCTTGTAATTGATATTGGGATGAACGGAATTTACAGCCAACTCCAAATCCCAACTTTCCTTTCTTCATCACCAGTGGAGATTTAACGGTGGGTCTAAAAGATTCTATACATATGGGCCAATTAAAAAGGCACCCTTTTCTTTTCTTTTTTTCTTTTTTACATATATTATAACATTTTTAAAAAAATTATTTCTTATGAGATTTGATAGTGGACCCCGCCAAAAGATTTTTATACCATCCCAATTTTATTTCTCTCTATTTTTCTGGTCATTCCATGTTTTTTATATCATTATACCAGACCTAATATTGAATATTGTGGGAATTGGTAAAACTTTTCATATTTCCTTATATACTTTTATCTTCCTTTTTTTTTTTCCTTATTTCTCACATCTCCTTCCTCTCTCATTACAATTCTCTTTTCCACTATCACAATTTGAAGAATTTTTTGGAGCATTGGACCTGTTCTTATTGTCTTTTACTTTAAATTATTTTATAGTTTTATTGATTTTGTTATCATAAAATTGTATATTTTGTTTGTGAGTTGTAACTTTTTTTTATTTGTATGATTGAATATGTCTACTAGAAAGTGAATAAAATAATAGATAAAGTAATTCAATCTAAAAAATGAGTTATTGATAAAATTGTTTAATTAATAATAAAAAGATAACAAAAAGGGATCAAAATTCAACAAATGAATAACAAAACCATCTAAAAGAAGTAAAAGATTATACAATAGTGAAATGTCACTTATATTTTTTTTTTTGTCTAGGACCTCAAATTTAATAGAGTCACCCTGAGTCAAATGTTGGTTAGTGTGATCAACGTAAAAAATTAAACTAGTTGGACATGAGAATGGACAAAGTATCATAATTATTTTTTTCGTTATTGTCTAGCTAACTTGATAATCACAAAAAAGATACGAAAGGAACAAAAGTAACTTGGCGTTTCCTGAGCATGATAAACAAGTTTGGGAATAGAGGGCAACTCTAGGTTAAGAAATCTTAAATTCTAGAAGAAGTCTAAACCCAAGCAATAGTTATTACCACCCTCTCCAATAACTTTTCCTATTCTTGATTAAAAGGATTAAGGAATCGATTTGATGACATAACACTACCACCACAAGTTCTCTAATAAATTGAAGGAGTCCTAAAGAGGTATGTCAAAAATTAAATACAAAATCCGTACTTTGATATAAAATGGTTCAAGTGTCTGCCTCTGTCATCGCTTTTCTTCATAGCATCGAAGAATGGTCTAAGAAAGTCCCGAAAGAAAGGTCTAAGAAAGTCTTTTCCTGCAAAAGACCTTACCGGCACCACTGCCTCTGTCGCCTCCTTTTTTTTGTTAATTCAAAACACTTTGATTTGTAATTTTGGAAATATTTTTCATAAAACAATTTTTTAAAAATAAAAAAATATTTTCGTAGTTACAAACGACGCATGAATAAAACTGTTTCTGTGATTATATTTTAAATTTTCTCTGTTCCTCAATTATGAAGAAAAATTCCTTTCAATAATTTGAACCTTAACTTGAAAGCAGATTCATATCAACTATATATAACAGAAAATTATTATAAGAATGCAGAAAACCATATCTTACCTGCACTTACTTTAATCGGATTCTTGTCTGCTTGCTTTTTTGTTCTTTTTCTTGCCTTTTTCGTTAAAAGACAAAACGTGTCGTGCCTTTTGATGTTTTCTGAGGTGCAATTTCGTAATATATTTCAAAACGGAGGTCTTTTATTCACACAATCTTCAATACGTGACCTCGTTACGAGCGGAACAAGTCCTCGTGTCCGTTAATTTTTCGAATTCAAAACCGCCACCACTAAAACCCACCAACACCACCACTCCCCACCTCTCTGAATCTGTGCTACCCTTATCTTGAAAAAATTACAGTTTTGTTTCTCTCTCTAGGATACCCTTTTTCTCTCTCTAAAGAAGGTTGCTGCTTGAACTCTTCAGAGCTCTAAACCCAGAAAAATCAGTGTTTTCTGAGGATTTTTAGCTTTGATTTGATTAATCAAGTGGTTACAGAAAATGGGTGCTTCAGGAAAATGGGTAAAAGCATTAATAGGACTGAGAAAGCCAGAAAAACAGGACTATGTAAGCAAACATTTGTCTACTATGGATCTATACATATATATATATATTTGTTTCTCCTCTGTATTAATCTCTCTCTAAATTTTTCTCTCTCTAGGAGAAGGTGGGGGTAAAGAGCAAGAAATGGAGGCTATGGAGGAGTGGTTCAGGGGATTTGGGGTCCACGTGGAAGGGTTTCAATGGAAATCATCAAAGAGGTACTGCATCAGAGGGCTCTGATTCTTCATCAGTGACTACTAACGATGCTTTTACATCTGCTGTAGCTACTGTGCTTCGAGCTCCTCCTAAAGATTTCAGGGCTGTGAGGCATGAATGGGCTGCGATTCGGATTCAAACTGCGTTTCGCGGCTTCTTGGTAAATGGGTTTCTCTGTTTTTCTATGTTTCTGTCTGTTTGGTTGATAGAGAAAGTTAGTGATAGGAAAATTAATTTACTTTCCTTCTTATGAAAGAAAATTGTTCTACTCAAACTAAGGGTCATTTAAAGCAATTCTTATCTAGCCACATAACTCTATCCACATAACTAATCATGTCAATCTCCATTGACTCAACTTCTTACTTTCTGTCCTTACATATATCCTGAATTTTCCCAGCAACCAAACAAGGGTATTCTGTTTTCATGGATGGATAGATAGATATATCCACTTAACTATAATGAATGGATAGGAAAAAACTTATTGAACAGTTCAAACTCATGGAGGAGAGTTTAGCAGATTTTCCAGTAGAAGTGGATAGTTATCTTCAAAATTATAAAACCTAAGATCTGGAGTGCTTTTTTGACCTTGAGTCTTGACCTTTTTCTTTTTTTTTTTTCAATTTGTGGTAATGGATAATGCAGTACTATGCATAAATGAGAAATTACTGTATCCTCAATTGACAAATTGACTTTCTTTTTCATGTAAAGTGAAGTAAATTCAACACATTATGCCTTACACAATGAAGAAAATAACTATACTTTCTTTTCTCTTTCTTTGGCAAGTAATTTTGTGTCACCAAAAAGAAAAAGGCTAAAAAAAAGCTCTAAAATTGGAGGGATCGAGAAGCTCTAATGATCACAAAGGGTACTCTCACACCCCAAGAGGTTACAATGTAACCCTATTGAACATTTTTAACTTAAGCTTTAATTTATGCACTTGAAATTTCTTCTATTCATTAATGTTCCAAAATTTGTCTGTGTGGATATCCAGTTGTTGTTGAGCTTCTTGTGGAAAATTTGGATTGCTGTTCAGGGAATTTTAAATCTAATAAAAATGTTGCAAGATTTAGTGGGTGTTATGTGATTGTATTGTATAGGCAAGAAGGGCTTTAAGGGCCTTGAAAGGAGTGGTGAGGCTTCAAGCTTTAGTTCGTGGCCGGCAGGTGAGGAAGCAGGCTGCTGTGACACTGAGGTGCATGCAGGCCCTTGTTCGAGTTCAAGCACGAGTTAGAGCTCGTCGTGTTCGTATGTCTGTAGAGGGGCAGGCTGTGCAGAAGATTCTGGACGAACACCGCAGCAATGCTGATCTCTTAAAACAAGCTGAGGTATAATGAGTCTTGTGTTTGTTGGCACCTAGATACATTCTTTCTGATTTTGAAAAACATTGGCTCTAAAACAAATAAACTTCAGTTCTCCTTTTATAGGCATCATCAGCACCATGAATATTGAAACTAACAAAGGGTATTGAGTTTGTGATGAAACTAACAAAAAATTGAAATTCTCAGGAAGAATGGTGTGATAGTAGAGGAACACTAGAAGAGATCAAATCAAAGCTACAAATGAGGCAAGAGGGAGTTTTTAAGAGGGAAAGAGCACTTGCATACTCTCTTGCTCAAAAGGTATGTGGAGTTTATTAAGTCGAAAGTGTTTTGTTTCTCTGTCAATCAAAATGATAATTAATATTCTTCATATTATAACAGCATTGGAGATCAAACCGGAATTCAGATTCCCCGTCAAATTTCTCAATGTTCTCTCTCAAGAATCAGGAGCTGGACAAAAATGGCTGGGGGTGGAGTTGGTTAGAACGTTGGATGGCAGCGAAGCCATGGGAAAATAGGTTGATGGAACAAGCAGCCCATAACAATGCCTCAACGACAACTCCACTCTCTAAAACATGCAGAGATGTCCCCAAGGGCAGCCATTCAAAATCTTCTGAGCAGCCGTGTTCGGTGAGAGTGAGAAGAAACAATGTTACCACTAGGATTTCTGCCAAACCTCCCCTGGCAGGACAAGTAACTCGCTCATCTTCAAGTCCGAGTTCTGATCTTAGATATGATGAGAGCTCAGCTTCATCATCATTTTGCACATCCACAACTCCTATTTCTGGAAACACTGTCCTGGGAATAGAGGAGAGCAATAACAGTAGGCCGAGCTATATGAACTTGACCGAATCAACTAAGGCTAAGCAGAGAAATGTATCTCACAGAATTCGAAGGCAGTCCATGGATGAGTTTCAGTTTCTTAAGACATTATGTAATGGGGATTCGAAAAGCATTGCTGGTTCGGAATTTTCTTCAGTCAATATGGACAAGCCACTTTCCTCGACCACCCTAATGGACAAAAACTCCATGAAGCTAAGGGGGAGGAATAACTGCTTTAATGATTAAGAAAACGAGTTGATTTGTCCTTGCCGCGAAGTTCAACATCTAGTTGTTCACTTTATTTGAGTGCTTGAGAATCTTGTTAAAGGGTTGTTCATTTTGTAAAGTCGTATGGTTGTCGAATTAGAGATTGCTTTCTTTGCTTCCAAATGTGTATCTGGATGAAATTACTATTTTAAAATGTGTATTTGTGCTACATGAGCAAAACTAGTAGTTGTGAAAAAAACTCAGATGTTCAAAAACTTAAAAAGTAACCGTGTATGATTAAAAAGTCCCTCCCTTCTTCTTTGCTATTTTGATAGAGTCACCAATCCAAATTGTACGAAGGCTCCTCCTCAAGGTTGAGTGTTTGAGTAATATTAGATGCAATATTGTGGTGGTGTGTGTTTTTACTTGAACTGACAAAATATATATAGAGAGGGAGGGAGACTGGCCTAAACCAACTTGTTCCCAGAAATTTTTAGGTGATTCTCTAGAATTCTAAGTTTTTCTCCATTTTGGAAGATTGGCATTTGGGTTTTGGGCCCCTTGGGCACCCAGTTTTGTAGGGAGAGTACCTAACCAAGGTTGGGTCCAACCCCAACAAAACACCCATGCGTGGTTCGGGTTTGGGATTGGGCTCTCCAAAAAAAAATTCTATTTGTTGAAAAAATTTCAGATTAGGCCTGAACTTGTTGGGCTTCAACCTACTTGAGTGTCTTGGGCTTGTCCAAAATAGTTTAAATCTTTTAGATCCTGAATTAATTTGGATCAGCCAATTGAGACAGATTGGTTTTCCAAATCAGAGGCGGTTAAACCCAAATCGATGGCAGTTGGGTGGTTATATCTGAATGGTTATGGGGCGTGTTGGTTCATCCGAACCACTGGACCCAATAGCTTTTCGGATTGAACAGGTACATTTGATGACGGTTCAGGTCAGCCCGCACAGGCACCTCAACTGTGTTTTAGTACTGATCTAATTTTCTAGGAACTTAAAGTAGTATAATAGAGATGATTAAATATACCTTGTAGGACCAAGTAGCAAAGAATTTGGCTACTCATATTCTAGGTAGTTCAATATAGTTTCCAACTTAATGGTTTCAATATAATGATTGATATGTATGAATTGGATTGATTTTGTCTGCCTTCCCAATTAAGTTGGCTATTCTAGTAAAATGGCTGATGGAATATGAGGACAAGATGGTCCAATACAATTGTTAAGGAGACAAGTCCACCTTTGCTTAGGATTGAGCAATTGTTGATCCAAGTCTTGAGACTCCATCATTGTGATTACCTAGAATCTCTTGATTGTGTGTATCATGGTTGACTGTGGCTTAAGAGGAATGCCAAAGTCAATGCAAAAGGAATCTTTGTCCAATTGCATTGGTGGTCCAATTTGAGGGAGAGGCCAGAGATAGTAATATCTCCTACTTTGTTGGAATGAAGATTTTGCTTTTTATGTTAAAGCAAATGGTTTCCTAGTTGGCGCCAACTTGACTAGGTGGGATGACTAGTAGACTTGTAATATATATATATATTTTTTTTGGGGGAGTGAAGAATTAATTCAATCGCGTCACTTTGACTCTCTAATAGTTTTCAAATATACGAAATTATTAATAAGTTGCGTGTATATTCATGTCTGAGTCTCGAGTCAAAAATTTAAGAATAATACTTCCAAAAACTTTATCAGTTAAGTCAAGTCATGCAAACAAAAGAAAAGGCGATTAAATCTTAGTCACACAATGATTCTTAACATATGTCGCTTTCACTCTATCGCTTCAAGTCACATATAATTTCGATCTCAAATTCATTCTCAGTCACACTTCCTTACAACTAAACATGATGGAAAATGTAAAAAGTCAACCCAACATTTTAACTTATTCATGGTATCTTTCTTTTTGGGGGATAAATTTATTCATAATATCTTGTTTTGCCATGGTAGCCATAATTTCTTTGTCCAAACTAGTTGTGTATTAAAAAGATTGCTCTTATGGTTGTCATGTTGTGTAATCTCATCAAATACTATTATTATTATTTTCTTTTGATTGACTAATTAACAAATGTCAAAAATGGACCAAAACAGAATAGATTGAAAATTTGAATCCATGTTTTCACATGTGACGATTCAAATATCTACTGTTACTTTGTAAAATGATGCTTAATTAATTAAAAAAAATGGAGAAAGAGAATTCATGTAATCAACCCGAAACACGGATGAAGATAACAATGATGAGTAGGCTAGAACTCTTCACTAAGCTCAATTTGTGTAGCCTAAATCGTTTTATCATAATATAAATTTAGTGTGAATCTTTTTCTTCTTTTTTTTGTTAAAAAAAAAAAAATTGAAAAGCTAGCAAGTTGGCCCATTTGGGTTAAATTGTCCACCTAACTGGCTTGCAAATCAGATTGGATTTGGGCCCCAACAGCAACTTGCTCCCCAAATGTTCCAGCTCAACAGGACACCCATCTTTTGGGGGTCAAAGGAGTGGGTTCAAGTATAATTTTGCCATTAATTTATTTTTAATAAATAAATAAAAACATTTCACTTTCATGTTGTTGATCAATTCCAAACACAAACGTTTTTTTTTTTTTCTTTTTGGAAATTAATTCCAAACACAAACCTTAGCATTTTGTAACATATGTAAAAAATGAAAGGGAAAAGAAAGAAATGAAAATAAAAAATAAAAAATATATATATAGAGAAAAATTTTATTCCCCTTGTATTTTGTTTCATTCTGGATGAGGTTGGGAATAACATGAAAAAAAAAAAAAAAAAAAAAAAAAAAAAAAAAAAAAGAAGAAGAAGAAGATAATAATAACATAAACATCTGATATGTTTCTATTTTTTTTTTTTTTTTAATAGTATTTTCCTTCTTCAATTTTCAAGGTAATTAAATAGAGAGAAAAAAATACTATTAAATTTTATTCTTTACTAATTCAGAACCAAATGAAAACTTTCCTAAGGTAACATAAGAAAGTATAGCAAGAATGAATAAATAAATTTCAAAAAGGAAATTAAAATTAGATACATTCCATATAATTTCATGTGTGTGTGTTTATGTGCTTATATATATATATATATATATATTATAGATTCTCATGACATTCAAACTGAAATGTCAAATTTCCACTTGAATTCATTCTTAAATTGTACACTAACAAAAAAAGAATAAATAAATGAAGATAGTCACTCATTTATTATATATATATATATATATATATATATAATAAAATAAAAATGGTCACTCTTTGACAGTAAAGCTTTCAATATACATATATTAAGAAAAAGAATGTTATCACGCGAGCTCTCCTTACTAATAAATTTAACAATTAATTAAATAATTAATAAATTTTTTAATTCATTAATAAATAAGGAGAACTTATCATGATGATTTTCATGATAACATTACTTTTTGACTCTCTTCACGTCTTAAAAATTTTTTCTCAATTTTGTAATTAAATAAATAAAATTTGTATCTTTTGTAATGAGAGCGTTCTCATTTTAACATTACTCTATCAAGAATTTGATACCGTCAAGAGTGCTCCCCGCTCTTTCATCGTTAAGGATTTGGAGGATTTTTTTTTAAATGGATACTCCTACTAAAATAGTACTCCGTAGTTCGTTGGATTCCATCGATAATTGTCTAAACACACACGCATATATACTTACATAATATATAGAGAGAGAGAGAGTGGGAGAGTGGGCCTTGCTACAAGGTGATCACCTCATTTGGGTTCCCAAATTATAAGTGCTTAGATCATTACTGGGCCCAAATGTAAATGGCTCCTAAACTAACTTCTGAACTACGTTTTATTGCAATCAGGGACATCTAAATCTGGCTAAGTTGTTACGTGTAATACAATTTTCATTTCTCCTATTGTTATAAGTTTCAGAAGGTATGCTTGTATTGTCACTTAAAAATTATTCTCAAAAACTAATATATAAATATATATATATATATATATATATAATTATTTCCAGATAAATATAAAATACAACTTTTCAAAAATAAATCTTTTTAATTTAGGCCCCGTTTGGCATACGTTTTATTTCTGTTGTTTTTGTTTTTGTTTTTGGACTGCTATAGTGTCGATTTTGGCAACAAAAGTATGTTTGGTGCGGTCTTGTTTTATTTTACACAGTGCTAAAACACTTCGTGAATAGTGGCCCAAAACAAAAACACCAAAAAGTTATTTTTTCTTGTTTTGACAATTGTTCATACCCCAAAACCATAACAGGAGCGCAACACGGGCCAAAAACAAAACGCCTAAAATATCTTTCTAAAACGTGCTTTCGATTTTTTTTCAAAATATTCTTATGGCAAAAACACTGTTTCTGTTTTAACCAAAAATAAAACGCCTAAAATAAAACGCATGCCAAACGGACCCTTAGTTTTTATAAAACAATTCTTAAAAATTATCAACTAAAATTATATAACTTGAATCAAGCACAGGCGTAAATGTCTTGCTTTCATATAGAATTTATATGAATAGTTGAAAAGAGGAGTGTTCTATGGTTTGACATTGGTGTTACCATCGAAAGAGTTTCAAAGGGAGAAAGTATTAGGTGCACCCACATCGTGCATTAGGTTCATTTGAGCTGTATATTTTGTGCACACATGGGCGTATATTATGCACGTACAATGCACCATACACTCAGGACACTCGAGATCTATTCCTTCAAAGGAGTCACTTTCCTAAAATATCATATGTTAAAGTCGTTATTTATAAGGTGATGGTTAGAATCCTTTAGAAATAAATGGGTGCCGTGATTTCTTGTCAATGAAAAAAAATCATTATCATATTAGAAAATTTTCCCAATTCAACTTTCATAATACCTAACAACAATTTATTAAGTGTTTTTAACAAAAAAAAAAAAAAAAAAAGACAATTTATTAAGTGTGTTTTATTAATTGACTATTTTAAAACGACCGATGTTGAGTATATTGTGTGTGTGTGTGTGTGTAAACACGTGATATATTTGAGATACAGAAATAACGATAATAACTAGCATGCATACTTCTATAATGTGCCTATTATATATATATATATATATATATATATATATATGTATGTACACACACGAGCGCGAGATATATGTGAGATAGTAATAATTACCATGCATACTTCTAGAATATGCCTATTAAATTTAGATGTGAATAGTTACAACTATTCAGC